TATAACTTCCACAAACTTTAACAGTTTGTGCTGGAATTTTACATGCTGAATATATTTCTCTTTCAAATTTTTTTTTGGAAAAATTTCAGCCAAAGTGGTTCAGCCATTTCAGAGAACGAGGTTAGGGAAAAATACGTTGTTTTGCCCATATTAAAAAATTCTGGCAACTTTCTCTAAGAACTCTAGCATCCCAATGCTTGGGAGCAGGGACTTGAAATTTCACAGTCATTGTGTCAGGGATGTGCCTGGTGCCGTCACCATGAAAATCCACCTATATTTGGCCAAGTTATAAGCCTTTGGGGAAAAAAATTGCAGTTCGCATATGCTCAGTAGATATTACTTAGATTTTAGCTGCTTTAATCTCTGAAGAATCCATCCTCACTAAGCACACTTGAACCTCTCTCAGCTCCTACACTGACAAGACTGCATACGCCATCCCCACAGAGTAATGGTGGACGCTCCCTCGAGACCAGGCAATCTTATTTCTGGGATGTCCTAACTTCTGAGTGCATGGTTTTGCAAGGTTAGTAATGTTTTTAATGTAGGTTTGTGTGTGTAATTGGAAATAAAACTAGAGTATGCAGCTCCAATTTCAATTGTTTCTTGGGGGTTAAGGCACAGTAAAAAAATGTGTGCTTTATACTAAAAAAAGCTAGAAAAGCCACACATTTGCTTTGCATGCGAGACACATCTGCATACTGAGTAGTTTTAGAAACATCTACTATTATACAGAAAATCACCATGTGAAGTAAGCTGAAACAATGGTTTGATTAACCCAGGTAATAGGAAAATTCATCCACGCTTACCTGAACATTTCTTTTCTTCGAGTGGTAAGGTCCACAGATCTGTCACAATGGGTACTTCAGTCTGCTTTCAGTGTGGGGGCAGGAGAGACCTGTCAGGCACTAGCAGCCCAAGAATGCCTCACCTCCAAAAGTTCCCTCCAGTTGAGAAAACTTCCACAGCCAGCATAATTCAAATCTACCTTCCTAATTTACAGATTGTATTAAATATACTTTAGGTAAAAAAGCACAACAACAATTTCTCCTACTTTGGGGCAAGGTAAATTCTATCTAATATGACTACAAACCCAAATCCTTGGATATCAGTTTCTGTCTCTATTCTGGATGATCCATTTGTTCTTAGAATGGACTGGATCTGTGGATCCTATTACTTGAAGAAAGAAATTCTGAGAGAAGCACTGATAAATTTTCCAATTCCTCTTCATGCTAAGGTACACAGATCCATTACAATGGGATTTTCAGAGCACCGTAGCTTCAGGGTGGGAAGCAGGATCATCCTTTAACCATGGACATCCAAAATGAGGTAGATTATCCATAAATATCTTATCCATCTTCTCATGCACTAAGGCATGAAAAAGACTTTTGCCAAAATAATGTAAATGGCATTGGTTAAGACTGGATAACCAATATGCAGAATTTGGTGAATTTATGTATTGATAGCCATGTGCTGTCTAGCAGATTTCAATACTGGAGAGATGACTACTCTGCCCTGAGATTGTCAGTTCTCATAAGACCTTGACTTTGATGCTTAATTGAAGGAGGACTATTTCTTGAATTTGCGTAGAGAATGAATGTGATGATTGTAGAAAGGACTACCTGCCAGAATTAAAAGTATAATATTGGCTTTCATTAGAGAAAGCTCAATTTCAAATACCCCTCCTCCCAACTAATCTGATTGGAGATAGGAGCCATCAGGAGGCCTACATTAATGGATAGAAAGTAAAAGGAATCTTTCTGCAGGGGTTCAACTTGAGTACTGCTGCAAAGTGCAAAATAAGTTTCCAAGGTCGTGCTCTATGACCTTGTGGAGTAGAAATAAAGTTGATGCCCTAAGGTAGCATCTGATGTTGGGATTTGTGCTAAATTTCCTTTTTCTTGTAAAGGCTGAGACTGTTATATCATAGAGTTTTGACCTTTTGTTTGGACCCTCAGATCACCATTGTAAAACCCTCCTGGAAGAACTCAAGGCTGTGTTTCATTGCTTTATCATAGTAGTTAAACTGGACTTTTCACCCGCCAGTAGAATAAGAGGGAGACTCAGATTGTCAGATGACCAATCATATTAGTTTGGGGTTTTTTGTTGGCCTGATGTTACCTGAGAGCTTTCATGCCTAGAGGAGGGGCTGAACAGATGCATGCTTGGACTTGACTGCCTGTGAAGATCCTGTACAGGGAGTAGGCCACTCTTTCAAGTAAAAGTCTCCCCCAGTTAGAAACACTGAGTCCCTGACTACCAGGAAAAATAGTTGCGTTTCTCTTCGGTACAGATACCTAGTGTGCAAACCAAGCAACTTTCCAGCCTTATAAAATGGAGGCTGGTGAGAGAGTAGAGTAAAATGAAAGAAATGGTGAGTCAAGAAGCGGCTTACAGGCTACTAGTTCTTTCACATCTGGACCTGCTGTCCCTCTGATCGCTCCATAGCCATCAGCTGGGAGGAAGAAGTGGAGGTGATGGTGACACATGGCAACCTATAACTCAAGTTGGGAACAACAGCCTGGACCTTAGGGCACGTTGAACCACAGCAGCAGCTGGAGATGCAAGCCAGATACTTTCCCCATCTTCTGGGGGCAGTAGGAAACCCCTATCCCTCCATTACATTTTCCCAGGGTGCATGAGGAGGGATAGCTAGCTATATCTTGTCTAAGATAACAGTAGACTTCCTAAATGTAAGTTGCACAATATTCAATACTCTCTTGCCTGAAAGAGGCTCAATTCTTTTTTTTTGTATTTTAAATATATTTTACTATTTGATTCTCAAACTTTGATTTTGGAAGTTGGTCTTCCTCTCCTTAGAAGGAAGAACTGCCTTTGTGGGATTGCATGTTTGCATGCCTAAAATAATCAGCACATCTATAGCCTGTCTTTTCTACACTGATCGACCATGCTGCACTTTGAGGTGAGCAGGAGAACCCAGCACTGATTTTATTACTCATTTAATTTCTCCCTTTGGGAGTTTGTCCCCATAATCCTGCTTCAGAGGGAGGATGAAGTTGGCCGCAGAGGAGAGGGAGCTGAACCAAAAGGCCCCTTACTGCATTCTCAAGTGTTGGCAGCATCTGGGTGGTATCCAGTGTCTCCATCCCCAATCCAAGGGGACTCAGAGTAGGGAAGGGAGAGGAAAGTGTGTGTGTGGATGGGGGCCAACCAAGCTCTGCAGTCAGAGGTGTGGATGTTGGTGGGGGCTATTGGGACTCAAGTGCATTGCCATTCTTGCTTCACTCCCCGCATGGAGACGGGAGCTGCTTGCCCTGATGCCAGCTTTTTTCCAGTCTGCTCAAATCCTTTCTCCCCCGCAGAGAAGAGAGAGTCCAAGGTGACCCCACCCAGCCTGGGCTGTGAAGGGAACTACACTCTTGCTCCCTAGCAAGACACTTAACGGCAGGGGGAGAACAGGGAGATACAGACTCTTCCTTCTGCCTCTGGCTTTTCTTGGTATAGCGCTCTCCCTGAAGCTTGCAGGGGGAGCAGCTGCTGCAGACACCTCAGAAGGGGAAGTGAAGCTGATGGGTCAATCTCTGCACAAATCAAAAGCAGCCCTGGGACATATCTGGGAATTAAACGAATTATTCAGCTGATCTTATAAACACTTGAAATAATATTTGGAAATTCCCTCAGAAAAGCTCTGTGGTAAGGAAGTCTGGCTGAGCTGCTGCCCACTGTGGAGGCAGAAAAAACTGCAGGGAACCGTCCCCACGCTGCAAGCAGGCAGAAGTACCCATTGTACTGAATCTGTGGACCTCAGCACAAAGAAAAGAAGATGGGGGGGAAAATGCTGTAGTGCCTATGCGGTTCATTCAGAATATGTTCCTTTTCTTTTTTAACAGGCATGCAGCAGCAGTAAATTCAAATAACAGAAGATATAAAAGTATGAGTCAGGTTAGCAGATGGCTGATTGTGTCCCAGCTCCTGGAGTGGAAAACACTCATCAGAAAATACACGGGTGGTGCTACAGTAACCAATCACTCAATCAATGATTCAAATGCCACAGCTGGAGACATACAATCCAGAGCTTGGCTTCAAGCCCTGTGGTTGGTACAGCTCCACATATGGGGATGGCAAGTGAATGAGATAGACAAGTACCATATTTCACATAGCAAACAGGAAAAAAAAAAAAAAGAAAAGAAAAAAAAAAGAGATAATAGTGGCAAATGATTTAGCAGTGATCAAGATATTGAACTCAGAGGACCTTTTCTTAACACAGATTTAATAAGGAAAATATGAAAATTGAACACAATCCAGCCTTGTCAAGCTGCTACAAAGAGTATCTGTAGAGTAATTGGAAAAAATTGTTAAGAACTCCCAAGCCCCACCAAAATATACCCCAACCCCCCCCCCATACCAGAGTAAGAAATTTAAATCTCTAGGGCTGTTTTCTTCAATACAACACGCAAGAAGCAAAGTGGTTAGGAGGATTATGCTGATGTCAGCTTTCAGTTCGAAACACCTCTATGGCAGATAAATAGTTTTGTGGAGGTAGGGAGGTAATCAGAGTTATAGGTGTATACATCAAGGGAAAGAATATATTTCTTAGTTTTGTTTTTTTGTTAGAAAGAGCTCTCTTTAGAGGGCTTGCGGAGTGATGAGAAGAGGAAGTGTTGTAATGCTCTGCGCAAACTTTAAAAGGACATAAAAAAGCTTATTCACAATATTAAAAAAATCTTGATGAGAGATTAAAAATAAAAGAGAATAATTAAAGAAGTGGCTGACCCAAGACATCCTAATTCAAGTGATTAGGCATGAGAATGGACTACTTCAGAGGGGCAAGCAATCGAAATTAATATTCAAGAAAAGATTAAGTAAAATAAGAACACAGGAAAGTGTTTGGTGTGATGCAACAGGCAGTCTGCTAACACAAGATATCTTATTTGGCTTCATCTATTCTGTAGTTTTAAAGATGTGGTTAAAACTGATGTAAACAATTTATGCAATCCTTCAACAACAACAAAACAAGAACAAAAAATAAGAAGTCTGCTTACTCTTCTTGACGCAAGTCATTAATGCTCCGATCTAGTGAGATCATATCACTTGCCACCATATTAAACCCAAACTCTTTAATGCTGGCTTGAATGGATTCTTTGTAGTCTGGTCCTAATACATATGGCTTGCCTTCCTCTCCGGGGCCACCAGCAACTCCATGAGGCTCAGGTTCTTTGGGCTCAAAATTACCAAGGATTGCAGGTCGTAAAACAGGATCATGGTATGTAAATGTCTGAGGCTTAAATGTGAGATATTGCCTCTGCATGATGTTCTGCTGATTGTTATCACCAACATGATGTTCTAGTTCATTTTTGGCCTTATTTTTTCTTCGAATAGATTCTAAGTCCACTTCCATGCCTTCAACATGAGGCCAGGGTACCACAGGTTTGAATTTCTCATTTCCTGGAGCTAGTCCATGGTTTCCTTTGTCTGGCACGGGATTCTTAGCTTCTTTGTCCTCCTATATGTATATTAAAAAAAACAAAAACACACACACAGCAGGAAACCATTACAAACTATGATAAATATAGAACTCAGTTTTTTAATCCTAAACCTTATATGCTGATACTCAGTACTAAAGTAGTAATTAAACAGTAATAACAAGCAAGTATTGTTTACAGATTGGACTCTAGGTTCTACTGTCAACCGCCACATGCTTGGAGAGAGAGTCACTGGCGACTTCTAACAGGACTAGTACTCCTAATTCTCTTAGGAACTTCCACAAATCCCACTTACTCTCTCTGGCTGAATTTCTCCCATTTATAAAATGGTTTGGTAAAGAACACGGAGTTATTTAATAATGCCTTACAATTCTATAGCACTTTTTAAAAGGGTCTCAATGTTTACACTAGATACGAAGAGCAGGATTTTCAAGAGCGTTCAGCATTGACCTAACTCAATGAATTCAATGCGAGTACAATTAGGGTAATGTTGAGTGCATCTGAAAATCCCACAAAGGCCATCAATTTAGGACCCATTGTTAAGATTTCTTCAAATTGTGAAGAAAACAGGAATAACGGTAAAGTTTAATTTTTCCTAGAACACCGATGAAAGCATTTAAGCCAAGGTGACATCTGTCAAACAAAGTAGAAATTTTGACCAAGAGTCTATTGCACCAGGGTATTTTAACGCTTGTAGAAATTATGAATGAACGAAGTAGCTAAAAAAAGCTATTACACTACTACATCCACACTTTTATCTATAACTGTTACTTTTTAGGAAATCTTGCAAGGCCAAGACAACAGGGAAGTAGCTCAGCATGTGTTGGGGCACATTTTGCAAGAAGGTAATAAGCTGCCATGGAAGAAGAAAAAGCAAAACACAAATAATAAACAACATACATACATACATACATACATACATACATACACACACACACACACACACACACACACACACGGAGGGGACTGGTGAAAAGAGTAAGAGCTACCATGAAAAATATCCTCTCAAGACTGCCACTGGAAATCAAGGAGGAGGTCCTACTGTAGACAGAAGAAAATTTCAGTATATAATCAATGAAGGACTCGTTTAGAGAGTGAAAAAGCCTCCAAAAGTGACAAAACTAAAAAAAAATAAATAAAAAATTCCTTAGTTAGTTAACAATGGTATAAAATATCTTACTCCTTTCATTATATTCCTATCACCTTGTAAAACAGAAGTTCTAGGTGTTGATGTAGCAGGAACCTACATGATACTCTTCATAGTCACTGCATTCTAGCAATTTAAAAAAAAAAAAAAAAAAAAGGCTCATCACCTACCAAAGCTGGTCATCACCTACCAAAGTTGCTACTAAATTCCCAGCTTTTGAGGGCAACAATTTGAGTGGTGCGGAGCTAAAGGATAGCCAAATCTGTTTTTAGAGATTAAGTACATCAATTGTTTCTTAAGGCAGTTTCTAAACTCCCACGTGATATATTGTCAGTCTAGGACATTCTTCGTCTACTTGATCCAGTCTAAGACTTGGAAGCACATTACAACCAGGGTGGATAAAAATCAATGATTTAAATAATAATAATAAAAAAAAAAATCAGATTTTTTATTTAAATCAGATTTTGAGGAAAAAAAACCTATCTAAAGATAGTTTTAATTAAGATACATTATAGCTCAAAGATATCTCATCATGGAATAGGGATTATAAATTCTAGTTCTATAGTATGAGACAATATATTCATGTAATGTTTAAGAAAAGTTTTGTAAATGAGTTCCAATAGTTCATGGATTAGGGACCCAATGTTATGGGGCTCCAGGGGCTTCTGTATCCATGGTTTAGGTTAATCTTTTTATCTACCCAATAGGACTCAGTGCTCCGTCTAGAAGATAGTGAAAAATATAGTTGTGACTCTATGGTATTATCATTTTAGATGCAGTAGTGATAAAAAATAAATAGCTGAATCAGGCAGATCTTCCTTTTACAATTTCACCTTTAAAGTAGTACTGAGTGTCAGTGAATGCAATGAGTAATACTAAATGAGCAATATGGTAATAATACTTAAATAACTGCATTGACTTATTTTGTTTAGGAGAATCCATCCTCAACATACAATATTCTGAAGACTATCACTTTCAAGATCACCATCATTTTCTATAGTTTCAGAGTTATCTGCCAATACTAGTGTCACATCATGTATGTTACATGGCCACAGTATATCACCCATAGCAAAAACAAAAACAAAATACCCCATCATCCAGAAACAACCATAGATAACTTTGTGATAAGAACCAGCAGATTACAAAAAGAGGTAATTGATGAAAAAATTGCCCGGTTTGTTTATGCAACAAACTCTCCTTTCCGTACGATTGAGAACCCACACTTCATTAACATGGTTCAGTCATTAAGACCAGGATACAGTCCACCCAACAGAGCAGATGTCACAGGCAAATTGCTGGATAAAGTGTATGAAAGAGAAATTGAGCATTGTGCAAAAGGTCTAGAGGGTGAAATTGTTAACCTGAGTCTTGACGGATGGAGCAATGTCCACAATGATCCTGTTGTATGTGCTTGTGTGACAACAGAAGAAGGGAATGTCTTCCTTACAGAAACAATTGATACATCAGGAAATGCATACAGCAGAATACTTACAAGAAGTAGCAGTAAAAGCTATAACAAATTCTAGAAAAAAATTCAAATGTCTAGTATGCAGCTTGGTCACAGACAATGCTGCAAATGTATCCAAGATGAGAAGAAATTATTTAGAAGAGAGTCCCAAGCTAATAACATACAGTTGCAGTGCTCATTTGATACACCTCCTAGCCAAAGACGTCAGTGTTCCAGAAATAAAGGCTAATGTTGTTGAAATTGCAAAATACTTCCGTAACAACCACTTTGCAGCAGCTGCTCTGAAAAAAGTGGGAGGAACCAAGCTAACTCTCCCACAAGACGTGCGATGGAACTTCGGTAGTGGACTGTTTTGAGCTCTATATCAAGAACTGGCCTAATCTGATGACAGCTTGTGAACAAAATCGTGAAAAAAATAGATGGCACTGTCACAGCCAAAGTTCTCAACATTGGGCTTAAGAGAAATGTTGAACACATGCTGAGTACCTGAAACCTATTTCTGTAGCCTTGAACAAAATGCAGGGAAATAGCTATTTTATTACTGACGCTATTGAAATTTGGAAGGAACTGAGTGCATATTTCTCTTTTTAAGATCTCAATGACAGAGTTAAATTACAAGCATTAAAAAAATGAATGGGACAAACACTATCTCCAGCTCATTTTCTTGCAAATATTCTCAATACTCGGTACCAGGGTCAAACCTTAACTGCGGAAGAAGAGAAGTTGGCTATAACATGGAAATCCAGCAACCATCCCTCCATAATGCCAACTATAATAAACTTCAGAGCTAAGGGTGAACCATTCAAGAAATATATGTTTGCTGATGATGTTTTAAAGAAAGTCACACCAGTGAACTGGTGGAAGTCACTTAAGCATTTGGATTCAGAGACTGTTGAAGTGATAATCTCACTTTTAACAGCAGTAGCTTCTTCTGCCAGTGTAGAAAGAATATTTTCTTCCTTTGGACTAATTCATTCCAAATTGAGAAATCGTTTGGGACCTGAAAAAGCAGGAAAGCTTGTTTTTCTTTTCCAGATTATGAACAAACAGGAAAATGAAGGTGAAGACGACTGAGTTAGCTGCAGAAGCCAATATTTTAAGTTTCTCATGTTGACCTGGCTGACAGTCAATTTAATTTTTGTTTTGTTTTTTAAAAATGTTTCATTTAACTATTTTAGTTAAAAACAATTTTAACAAAAACAAACATTCAAGTTTTTTAAAATCAGGTTTAACTAAATTCAAAAATTCATATGCTTGTTTTGTTAAAATATTATGTTTGTTGTTGAAGAAAAAAATCCAGAATAAATAACGTTGTTGTTTTAGTTAAATAAAACAATTTAAATGTCTGTCTGGTGATATTCTCGTCCTAATACAGCCTGGCAAGAAAATCCTCCAAATATTAATGATTAATCTGTTGAATTGGAGATAGTTCACCTCCCAATAACTTCATAAATATCTGCTTCAATTATCTTTGGTAAATGAAATAACCAAACAATCACTCATTCATTTTCTGATATAGTTGTAAAACTAATCTGAAAAGTTTTCAAAATAAATCACTTTAAAAATGTATAGTGTGTACCTTCTAAAAATGAATCATAGAATCATAGAATATCAGGGTTGGAAGGGACCTCAAGAGGTCATCTAGTCCAACCCCCTGCTCAAAGCAGGACCAATTCCCAACTAAATCATCCCAGCCAGGGCTTTGTCAAGCCGGGCCTTAAAAACCTCCAAGGAAGGAGACTCCACCACCTCCCTAGGTAACGCATTCCAGTGCTTCACCACCCTCCTAGTGAAATAGTGTGTCCTACATCTATCTCTGAGTTGTGAAGAATATTTATTAAGGTTATAACAACCAAGAAAAAAATGCACTTTTATGTAGAAATCCATGATTAAATTGAGTCTTCCTGACTAGTGATTTAAATCAAATCCACCCTGATTACAACTAGTTTGAATTTTCCTAAATCCATACAGTGTAGTTTTGTTAAATTGTAAAATTAATTTAGTGATACACATATTGCTAAAATGAATCTCCAGGTGTCAGTGGAGTATGGTTGACTGAATGGGATACAAGTATGGTACAGTACCAATGGAAAAAACACGAGACAGAGTGTGTACGAGTGGACAATTTGGGGTTATTTAAAAAGGAATTGTTTTACAGAGATATTCACAAGTAAGTACACAGATTTTAGGTGGAATGCATCAGGTATCTGATGTACAATTCTACATAAGAAAATGCAAAGGTACATTGTGTGAAATTATACCACAACAATATGTTGCAATATTGTTACATTGTAAATTAAAAGGTCAACTAGTAGTTTGTATAGCATTTGTACAGTTGGCTATGCAAATATTTTGGCCATAATACAATAAAATACCGAAGTATGTGCTTAACATATATGCTTAAG